TCATCAGGAAACTGTTTACTGAGGGAATAAATCAGCTGAGGAGTCGACTCATTTCTCCATAAGACTGAATGGTACCAGTTTATATTGCAACCAGTGGCGCTGCCCCCTGCTGGTCGTTACACAGAATGCAGGTTTCAGACACTTCAGCGTTGGCTCTTTATACCGTCAATGCCAACCTGATAGATATCTCTGAAACACAGACGTCTCTCTCTCACGCCGACTCCTTCGGGGTTACCTGTACAGATCTTGTCCACTCTCAGCATGACGGCTCCTCTGTCCAGCGCCTGCCTCCTGAACACCCCACAGAAGGTGCAGTTGTTCTTCAGCCCGACCTGCTGCACTATGGCATCCATGGTCCAGCCGTACAGCTCCTCGTACGACACGATCTTCAGCGGCAGCTCGTACTGCTGCTGGTTCCTCTTCACCGTCTCCAGCGAGTCGTCCCGGTAGCCCGTGATCCCCTCGTCCACCGACAGCAGCATGAGTTCGAGGCCGTAGTCGTATCGCTCGTTCAGCAGCTTCATCACGTGAGCGAGCACCGTGGAGTCCTTCCCGCCCGACGCGGCGATGCCCACCGTCTCGCCGTGTTTGAACAGCTTCGCCGTCAGGATGGTCTGATGCACCTCCTCCTCGAAGGCCCAGAAGAAGCACTCCTTACACAGCGAGTGGCCCGTCTTCGGACGCTTCAGCACGGCGCGCTTGTCCACGCAGCTGCTGCACAGGACGGGCATCTCGACTGCTGGAGGGAGAGTTTATAACAAGAGTTAATAAAGTGTTAAATAACCAGCTGCTTCAGTACAGCTGAACTAAAGGTTTATGTAACTTATTCATCCACTTTTATTCTGTTTTACAGGCAGCATGAAGAGAACTATCATCTGAATTTCATTATACAACCCTGGACTGTAAAGGACAGTAAAATAACTTCGACTGCATCGATCTTTATTATTATTTTCTCAATTATCGATTAGTTGTTTGGTCCATAAAATATACAATAAAATGGTGAAAAATGTTTCCCAAAGCCAAAGACATTCAGTTTATTGTCACAGAGAACCAAAGAAACCAGAAAATATTCACATTTGAGAAGCTGAAATCAAACAATCATTCAATTATTAAATCAGTTTGGTGATTCATTTAATAGCTGACAGCCAATAGATTAAATCGTTGCAGCTCTAAATGTGAGCGTGATTAAATCATTAAGAATGATTTAATCTGTGTTTAGAGATCAAAATAGTTGATTTAGCTGTAAAAATAACAGAATAAACTCAAAGATGCCAAATTAAATATTAAATTAAGTTGAATAATTATCAGTTAGAGATTTCTAACAGGACATTTTACATATTATCGGTGATTTAATGTGTTTTTGAGGCACGCTGAATAAAAGATTTGAATAAAATGACTCATTAAACGTCATTAATCATTAATTATTATTGTTATTAATTAATATGTAGTTAATGAGCAGTTTTGAAGATGAACCTCGGACGTTCAGTTAAATGTGATTTTGTTTCTTGTTCTAAAATCCAACAACACAAACTTACTGTGATAAAGTTTATAAAGACATTAAAACCTTCATATAACAGTGACTTTATAGAATTAAAGCACAGTCAGACACTTATCCACAGTAATTAATATATATATATATATTAATTATATAAATATAATATCGGTGGTTTAATAGGTTTTTGAGGAATGCCGAATTAAAGACCTGAATAAAATGACTCATTAAACGTCATTAATTATTAATTATTATTGTGTAACAGTATTGTGCTGAGATAAATTAATTAATTGACAGTTTTCCAGATGAACTTCGGTTAGTTTTGTTTCTGTGTCTCGTTTTAAAAAGTAAAACTCTTCAGGATAAAATTCACAACTGTCTGAAATGATTTAATAACTAAACACACATAAAGTCATTTAATTCAGGTTTAACAGAATAATTAACATCATTAAACGTGTTTTCGACTGAAGCTAATTATTCACATTTACATCAACAAACATTTTCATACCGAAGTTCCCGCTGAACCGACGAAGAAGAGGAGGAAGAAGAGCAGAGAAACACTTTTAAAATACAACTTTTCTCACTGAAACGTTTCAGTTAAAGGACAACAAACACTGAAACGTTTCAGTTAAAGGACAACAAACAGCAGCGTGTTGTTGTAGCATGTTGTTGTAGCATGTGGTAGCTCCACGTCACCGGGAAACAGGAAGTGACGCAGGTTGTGAACACCTGCAGCGTCACCCAGCGGCCGGAGGGCGTCACTGCGCATGACACTGTTTACAGCCCCGAAGAGCTTTTATTCTCCTTTTATTCTCCT